CAGGTCAAGTGGTGATGGTGACAGCTTCATCAGATGTTGGAAGAGTATCCTGGCTGCTTACAGATGAAGGAATTCAGATGAGAGACCATCATCATCAACAGGCCCGACTACTCCACTTTTGTTTTGTTTCACCTCTCTTCCTCCAGAAAATAATATTCATGCTCATAAAATAGGACAAAAATTAAAATGGCAAATTTAAGGCTGAGGATGTAGGATTATATTAAATGTTCCAACAGAGTTTAAATCCATTAATTTGGAGAAATTATACTACAAATTCCAAAAGCATTTATGGAAAAATAAGGGAGCTGTTACAATCATCTGTACAAATGTTATGATGAAGAGAAGGGCTGACAAAGAACAAACTATACAGCCAGTACCTCAATTTTCCAAACAGAGATGGTGGTTTCCTTCCACTAGGCCGAAGAGTTTGCCATTAACTCTGGGCACTATTCCAAGGAGATTCTTAAAGATACGCTATTGGAGCATTCAAAATGTAAAGCAGTGAGAGGTCATAGAAATGTATTATAAACTAACAGCGTTATTTCCTTTTGTTTTAAATATGGTTACTTAATATCTATTCTGCAGAAAATACAAATGAATTCCAGCAAAGATTTAGACCAGATCTGTCTCAGTACACTCTGGGGCTACACAAAGGAATGTAAATTAACTCAAAGAGAGTTCTTTGACTAAATGACTCCTTAAACTACCTTCTAAAGAAGAGAGACTCGGGGGCTAACATAAAGCAGGAAAAAGGTGTCCAGGGCCACAACAAACACCCCTCTGGTTGGTGTTTAGTGCCTCCAAACAGGGGGAATGGCTAATCTGTATTATGGAATCAGAATGCAAAATGATCTTAACCTTTTAGAAGAGTTAACTAAAGATAAAGGTTAAATTGAATTACAGCATTTCCAAAAGCTCCCAATCAAGTGGCCAAACATGAAATCGGGGACAAATATATTTGCAGAAGAATATGAAGAAGAGTTGCATAACTGAACGACTAAATACTGTGGTATGAATGCAAAAGAAAAAAGGCCGATTGGATCTTAGGTTGACTAACTCCAGAGGGTATAATCCAGTTTATTCAGTGACACTAACAGTCCTCTACTTGAGGGCAGAGGGCCACACTTCTTAAAAAATGTGCATCCAAAGGCAACAACACCTGCCAGAGAGATTCTCAAATAAGTTTGGATGGAAAAAATGGAGTATTATCGTGGAGGCTTCAAGAGTTTTTATATATCAAGACACTTATGTAAGTCCTCAATAAAGCAAAATAAGGATATTGAGAGCACAGAGATAAATAATACAGCATGTTGTTTTTTAAAAAGGGTGTTTATCTCAGAATTGGCCAAATAAAGAAAAGTCTACTATATTCGCGATTAGTCTTGACAAGAATTTGCCAAACATGGTCTTAATATTGTCCTAATATGCCTAATTTGATTGGGAAATATGCTCACTTGCTAAGAATGAAGACTGAGGATGACGTGGACAGACTACTGAACCAAGAGAAATGGAGGGTGATATAAAATTAACCAATGAAGGATAAAATGACTTCACAGCACTGCTAATCAGTCCGTACATTGTAGGAGGAGCAGAACCATTCACAGCCGACCACAGGTTTGGTTGCATTACTACGTGCAGCTAAATCTCCAGCAAGGGCGATGAAGCTGACATTCAGTTCTACCTAAGAGTGGGAAGTAGGGCTTTAATGGATTTAGGGGCAAGGAATTTGAGGGTTGGAGCAGAATTCAAATTGCTCTTAAAGATGGGTATGATAATAGAGGAAAAGATTAGAAAAATGGTATAATAAGGGCTGGGGCTATAGCTCAGTGGTGCTGCCACCTGCCTAAGAAAAATGGTAGAATTCAGGAAACAAAAATGGGAGAGGAAGGTGCTAAGTGGTGATAAGTGAGCACAATTTTTGGAAGGATAGTAGCTGTGGTCAGAAAAAGAACATGAGACTCTCAGACTTCACTTAAGTGATGAGAAATCCGGGGGTGGGCGAATACGAGAGGATTCACAAAAGGAAGTACAGTTGGTTAAGGTCAAAGCCAAATATGTGAAAGTCAAAGGTACAGATGTTGAGTGAAGTCCTTAACAGTGACGGCACATTAAAGAGCAGAAAGGAAAAGCTTTGTTATATTAGATTCTCAAGAAGGAGGAACGGTGGCAGGTTCATGTACACTGGTCATGAGGACTGGCAACAATAGTGAAAAACATAAACTCAGAAAAAGAAGGCAAGGGAGGACGGTAACAGTAATACCAGCCAAACAAGCATCTCTGGATAGGCTGCAAAGTATAGACGAGAGGAGTACAGAAGGCTCTCGGTATGACAAGACAGGGCCTCCTCACCAAGCAAATATTGAGCTTTGCATTGCTTTTGTGAGCTAAATAATCTGTAACAGCAGGCAAAAAAATCCTTAATGGAATAGGGAAGACAGTAATATTTAGTTCATCAGACACTGACCTACTGCATACCTAGTCAAGCACTGTGACTCCAAGGATGGGTGCCCCAACGGAAATTCAATTTTGGCAGGAGATGCAGACATTTAAAAAGACACCTTTGATGTCATATGGAATAGCAAAGGAACATATGAAATAGATTGGATATATATAGAAAAAACTTAAGATTAAGTGGGGATGTGGTTCAGCAGGAGAGCATTTGCCTAACACGTGAGGGGCCCTGGGTTCCAGCCTCAGCACTGGAAACAAAATACATAAAAAATCCAAATTGAGTCTTCCTTCCTTTTCTCAGAGGTTCATTGCTAAAACCATTGTCTTCTGTTGGCTTCCTAGTAATTGCTATTATGGGGAGATAAATGAATTGATCTGTGAGTTAATTAATTTGATTTGGTTTTGATTTGATACAAGGGAGGGAATGTTTTCAAAAATGTTATTAATGGCCAGAAAGCAGGCCAGGTAAGAGATTTCAGTAACCAGAGGTAGTGAGAGTCACACTGTTTTGTGGCAAAAGAGACCACGATCTTAAGAACCTCTCAAGTTTTAAGATTTATTCTCCCACTGTGGGCTGAGGAGGAAGCTGGCCTGAACTAAAATCTTTTATGCCTCGCAGCTAACTCTGTTCATATGATATCAGTTCTCAGGATACAGGAAGATGAAGGTTACTGAAGTGATCCCAGGGGAGAGAAAATATGGAATAGTTAAGACATTTCAAAACTGTTTAGAAAGAAAATAAAGAAGCAGATATGATTTAGGGTGGCCAAGAAATACCCCAGACCTAAACAAATCAACTGGGTTATGGGCAAATAAACTCATTCAGCAAAAGAACTGAAAATTGCCAGAAGTTCTTTTTGTATCAGTAAAGATGGAGACACACAAAACAAAAATATTACACAAACATTTAACAAATGCACAATGAATCTAGGTGGTCTAGAGGAAAACACATTGTAATTACTGATCCTTGAGAAAGAAAAAATATTTATTTGTACAAATGTGCAGAAAAGAAATAGTAATTTTAAAGAAGAGTGGCTTGGGTAAATATTTCTAAATAAGTGGTAGAAAATAGTGTCATAAATTTAAATATTCTAGCAAACAGAAGTCAAACAATTTTGAAGTGAATTTGATGTAGCAAAAGCTAATCCAAATCACCACTTCCTCCAAAATAACATCAAAAACATATTCCTTGGGTCGGCTTATCTGAATATTGCTTTATTTTTCCATTTCCTCTTACTTGTGAGGATTCATTCTTAAGGCTAATTAGATATTTATTTCTGAAAAACCATCAATTAGGAGACTCGGAGGTACATATCATGCTATCTTAACCTAACCTGAAAAAAAAGCATTACTCTCACAAACACATTGTTAGGAAATGTAAATTTGGAAAGTAATTTGTTTGTACAATCTCTGTCAAAATTCAAGGTGATATAATATATTAGTTAAAAAATGTGATATTCAGTTAAAGATTCAAATTTTGTCAATTTTGTTTGAAAATTACGCCAAAATCCTTGGAATGTAATCACAAAATATTCTTCTGACATATTACTCATCATTGAATTTTAACACCATCACTTAAGTTTAGAGTGAAATACATTAAAACAACTCGAGTGTTTTAAAATGAGTCCATGTAATAATAGGCCACAATCATAAAGGGTGCAAGAACTAAGTAATGAAGTCATCCACATTTTTTTCTTTCACGTCGCCAGATATAAATAAAATAATTACATTTCTCTCTCATTCTTGAACCACCAAAACTATTTTATAGCTGACCATCTAGCAATAGGATCTTTAAAAGGCTATTTATATTTCATGCACTATGGAACATCAAACCACGTATAACTACTTTATATGAGTTGGATTTCAAGGGGAGAAAAGTATGTTACTTTCTGTCACACACTAGAAAGCAGAAACGGGACGCAGAAGGTATCCATCTGTTCGTTACACTTCTCGACTACATACACGTCACAAGACTGTTTGCTGACATATTAAAAACATACCAATGAGTCTATTCTAAATACAACCATTATGGCAACACTATTCAAGAGCTCTTCCTGGTGATCTGCGGACTTCATGCCGCAACTCAGTTTTGAGTATGGCTCGCATGGTGCAACTCCGAGCTCTTATTTTTCTGTTAGTTCACAGATCTTCGGGTATCTGAAGACTGCTCTACCTCCCTAAACATGCAGCAACTCCACTTCTGAAGGTAATTTCTGGGTCATCATGACCTCTGAAACAGATCCACAAACCAACTGTTTATGAACTGAACGAAGCATAGACTACACAGACCACCTCCCCTGAGGAAGGAGCACAGATTCCCGGACTTGGACAAATTCAGCTCCGCGTTAGAATGCTAGACCACCTAATTGCTACACTTTTGCCATTATCGACTCCCACCCCTCTTTCTAAAGGAGTATCTGAAAAGATCAGGGCTGGAGAAACAATTACAATCATTTTAGGAAAAGCAACAGATTATTCTACTCCTATACTGCGATCTGAGATACAAAGCTCCATATTTAGCACGAAGGGCTGCAAACTCTTATTTGTACCGGGAGGGCTGAAGATGTCCACATCGACACCAGGGCGAGTACGTGCACAGACAGGCAAAGAAACCACGACGAGAGAGCCTCAAATCACTCCCGCTCTGTCCTCAATGAACTTCAAAGATCAACAGCAACAACAAATCTACCCTCCTCGGAAACCCCGCGGAGTTCAATACACTCCCACCCTGGCGCCGCCCGGTGAGCTGGACGCCGCCCTCGGGCCGACCTGGGCGATGCCCTAGCTCCTCCAACGCAGAGGCCGGCGCATGCAGCGAGGGAAGA